GGTCTGCGTGGATTGCACCTGTGGGCACCAACCCATTCCAACATAGCCAAATTTCTCCTTCCACATTGTTATGCTATGGTGTAGGTGATGCAAACCCCGCAGTAATTATAAACCCCCATCGTAATGTCACCTAATACATTGGGCTGCAGCGAAAACTGCAAACCGACAACCCCAGTCTCCCTGCTCAACCACGTGCTATGCTTCTCGCGACACGCGATCATTCGTTTGGAATATCGAAAACGCGTGAGTAAATGTGCATGGAAATCTCTTTATTTAAGATCACTGAGATAACTGAACAACGGCGTTAGCTGCTCTCGCATCTCATCTTCGTTGCCTACTTAGGCGGTGGCGGCCTGCAGCGCTTCTTGGCTGAAAGAAAGAAGAAAGTAGGTAGAACTCTCAATTCAAGGTAACTCACAGTCCTTGACGAGCACTTTGAAATCGTCAATGAGTTGAGCCCAACGCTGGCCCAATTCGTCGTTGTCGAAGAAGTCCTCGGCCTTTGCGAGGAACGTCTTCACGCGTGTTCTGATGTTCCTAACGGGATTTTTCTGCCAAAAAATCACGATTATAGCGTCATCAATGTGAGCCGGTGCGCATTGTCAGGCGCTGCATTACTTACCTCTCTAAAAGTAAAGGGTTACAATAAACCCCGGATTCAGACTTACTGAGCAGAGACCGCTGTAATAAGCAGAACGGCGAGTAAGGCAACAATGACTGCACGCATCCTGTCACAATTTCTGTTGATATCAAACTGAAGCTGATTCGCATTCAGTCGTGCTTTTATAGTTGCGTCGGTGCTTGTTTATGTGAAAACGCGTGTCAGTGAATATGACTTCCGGAAGTGGACAAGCCATGTGCGAAGCCTTCTTGACCTCGTGTCAACTTACATGGCGTGCCGGTGGTTGCACAGTACAGTTAGCCTATCTTCATTTCTTGGTCCATTAACACGCTGAAATCACTTGCGCATTGTATGAGCATGAAGAGATCATATGTGAGCTTGGTAGTAAGGCAAACAGGAATCCGCACACCAAACATCACCTTTAGCCCTATTCGTTGTTTTAATATGTGCTGCACCATTAGCCAAAGATAAGAGAAAATGAGGGCCTATCAGAGAGAGTCCAGTCGGTATTGTAAGCCGTCATCAATGCTGCAACCACCTACGCACTTCGGACATGTCCCCTCTCTTCCTTTCACGCACACTTCTGTTGACTCGGTTCAGTGAAATTTGTGTATCGTAGGATCATTGTTCTGGCACTGTGTCCCTTGCCTTACTTTCACCATGAAGACATGAGTGGTAACGAGGGAAATGAGTCGAAGATCCCACGAGTCAGGCCATAGTGACCAAACGGCCATCCACTCTCAAAATCCCTCTCCCATTCACCTGGAATTGGTACGACTGACGCAATCGAATCCAGGTTGTGTTGTGGCAATTGCCTCTACAATACACCGAAACACATAAACACGCAAACAACGTTATCGTCCTGTCATGTTCAGAAAATGTTTAGTCGCTTTTTAGCTTTTGACTTCAGACAAACACCGCTGATTTTAATCAGCTTTTTCATGCGTGGTTTTCCCTTCGGCTTCTGTGACAGCTTTGCACTGAACGAGTCTGCTTTGTGTCCCTATTGTGGAGGATTTAGTGTCTTTACACTTATTTGTGTACAAAAACCAATTAGGCGCCCACACTCGCGTCGTCTCGCTTGTCTCTCTCTTCTGCCTTGATGGTGACATTTATCAGAAGTGACTGTGGCGTGGTTAACCTTTGATAGACTTTCTCATTGTGCTGTGGGTTCTTCCATTGATCAGGGCAGTGTAGAATGCACCCTCGTCAACGTCTTATGAGTGGTCGGATTCTGGTGCATTTTCTGGGCATTGTAGTGATCCTTCATCAAACGAGTTTGAGCGACGCTTAATCACACGTTGATCGAATACCATCGATCGTCGTGTACTGCTGGCGTTTGGTATGCACCTACGCGCTGAGTTATAAATAACTTTGATGTTCCAATGTCACAAATCGTTTTATTCGCTATTATCTGTCTTGCCTCATTTCTAGGGCTATTACGGACCGTTGACTCGCCGGTTCTTAAGTTAGTGCTTACCACGACGCTACATTTGGTGATCCTGATAAACACAACCACTGAACATTGAATTTACCAATTTGTAATTTCTCTTAAACACTTTACAAGCCTCTGCTTTGTCAAGAACGAGTCACGTATTTCTGTAAACCTATGTCCGGAAAACGGAATTTCATTTAGACTTCTTCCATATGGTCCTAACGACCGAGTTTGGTTTTGGCGACCTGAGGCCAATTTTCGCAATCAGATGATGACTTCCCTGTTCTTTATGTATTTGCATGTTATTGCATGGTTACCGAGAGATGTTGGGGATAGTAAGGTTGAAGAATGTGTCCTACACCAGAAATGGACTAAATCTCTCGTGGCGCATATGAACACAATCACCTCGTTCCAAAAATCTAATGCAGTTGGAGAAGCTTAAAAAAATAGTCACAATTTCTGACTACAATGCTGATATTCCCTCGTCAGCCTAAGTCGATCAAAGGAAATTCGAGCAACCCCACCAAGAATTTTTCCCGGCACGCGCTTACTAAACAAAATTTTCTAACTTCCCCCAATGGTTTTGTCCGCGTCGATGACGTCAAAACACTCATGCAACCACCCTACGATGACCTCTTTAAAGTAGTAAAACGCAGCGATAATTTTTTTATAATCGAAAAAGAATTGATCACTTGATACTGTGAGTGCGGCCGAATTAAAGCAGCTTACACGGATGAGGATAAGGTTCTTTCCCCACATTTAGACAATAATGAACTTTCCCTACACACTCCTATATCCCCACCCTGTACTATCTTTGGTTTTGTCCAACACCTGAAGCCGTAGGACCTCCTTGATAATTCAGTTCAGTAATTTTTGAACGTTTACTATGTCTCACAGCTCACAAACTAAGAGGGCACTATTCGAAGTGATCTTTCATAAAAAAATCGTGAATGAAGCTTATTCACAAGTTGATCAAATGTCATTTATTGCCGATTACAATTGGCTTTCGATATTCACTCACCCGCTCTGCTATAACAGAAATGGGAAGTCAAATGTAACAAAGGCGTTATATTCGCCATCATCGGTTTTGCCTAATATCTCGGGCTGTTACGGATTTTCGACTAGCAGGGTTGAAAAATAGTGCTAACCAAGTCGCTGTACTAACCACTTCCAAACTGCTACCCACAATCCCCACCTAATGCTCCAAATGGCATTCGACACCTTGAATCTATGCATGCACAAACAGTCGTGTTTATTGTGGTTAAAATGACAATGTTTGAAGGAACTTCAGCACACCAGACACTGACGACAGGAGATTGGACAAGTCGTGTTAACCAAGACGTCCTCCACTCATATTTTATACTTTGCGAATGAGCCTGGCACAATCACTTGGTTCCACTTCAGTGACTTCGAAATGCCCTGGTCCGAAAACCACGTGCAGCCTCTGTGATGGCATCGTCTTCCTGATTAAGTCAATTTCTGTTCACGGTCCCACGCACTTATGAATAGAATAGGGTGTTAAATGGAATCATGTCTATTTTACAAATCACCAACTTTTGTTGGACTGTTTTTGGTCGCATATTTGCAGTAGGCTCCATTTAAACGGTGTTGGAGCCGTTTCAAGGAAAACAGTTGATTTGCGAACAAAGTAGAGCTTTCATGTTCACCGTTTCACCCCATGCAAAGTATCTGGTCACGATTTCCCTACTTCGAAGTAGGCTATTAAAATTCAAAGTGCACCATTAACCTGGATGTTTCACGTTACAACTCCACAGATTCTGACATTTCTTGGGTGGAAATTGACTTAACGGAACACTTGACTGTTGTGCAGCCATAAGTGAATTATTGTAACAGGAATCTTCATTTCGGCTGTTTGACGTTTCAGCAGTGCCGACGATTACCTCGAGAGTGTGGGTGTCTGCAGTTCTCATGACGAGG